GTAGGATGGGGTAGGGATGGGCTCCTCACAGAAGGAGCAGCCCCACCTCTCCAGCCCTCCCTGCCCTTCCCCCTCCACCCTTTGTCCTCTCCTTTCCACCTTCCCCCCATGGTCCAAAAAAACAAAACAAAACAAAACAAAAAACCCAAAGCCCAACCCAAACAAACAAAACACAGGTCTCTGCAGTCGATACAAATGCCCTATTACTTTCTGGCCCTACTTGACATTTTAAGACGCCGCGTGTTCTCTAGAGGTGGTGGTCCTTCTACTGATTGTCCATGAACTGACTTCTGGCAAAGAAGAGAGGATGTGTGTAAGGAGTTTTTATTGAGGCTGATGGACAAATTTTGCAATTCTCTCTGGTCTTTAGTTCTCAGGCTAGCACACCCAGTGGTGCTTAGTGCCATCATACCGGGCTTTTATAAAACGCCAGCTTAGATTTAGTGGGCATGGAATGGACTTCTAACTACAATCCCATCAAGTCACCGGGGCTAACATCATCAAGTTTAATTCTTGTGAGCTTGGTGAGTGAGAAGCTAGAAATCAGGTCTTGTGCTAAGACACAAGGCAGCTTATCTCGTTAGGTTTTGGGGTTTTTTTGTTTTGTTTTGGGGGGGTTTTTTTGGGGGGGGGGTCACCTCAAGAGTTAAAGTAGTAGGTACAATGTGCTGTGAAGCCTAAATGAAGAAAAACAGCTCTGGTGCAGACCTCGAAGTGATACTGCTGATGTTTCAGCTGATATACTAACCCTAAGCACTGATATTCAGCCAGTGTTCCTGCCCTGCCCACCTTCTGGGCCCTCCCCATTGGGTGCAAAACAAAGAAGATCAGAAAATACTTCTGAAAAAGCAGGAACTAATTTAGCATCATGTCCCAATATGAAGCAAAGAGTTTTAAAGGAATCTGCTGTCCGTGTTGATAAATTTAATTAACACTGCTTAAAAAAGATGTTGGAATGAAAGCAACTCCGCATGTGTAATAACCAGGCAGTGCATGAGCATTGCTGAGATCCATGGAACTGTATTCACTTCTAAGAAACTAAGAGTCAAGTGGTTTCTTATATCTCCAATCCTTTCAGAAAACGATGCTGCATCCCTGTTAGAGTCACTTCTGAAGACAAGAAGGAACGTTTGGCATGGAACAGAAGGGAATAACCTCCAAAACAAATACTGGATCATGTATTTTTCCAAATGGTAAGTGATCTGTAGTTTGTAATTAGCTCCATTCATTAAAAAATGAATTTCCAGGACCAACTACTGGACCAACAAAAGAGGAGCAGGAAAAACAGTTTTCACATGGGGACTTCAGTCAAACAGATGGCTGCAGCCTAAGCCAGCTAAAATGGCACACATTATTCTCTGCTGGTTGTAGCCATCTTATCTTGGTTTTGCATTTAATGATGAGTTGCAGAGAATTTTGTTCGAGATGCCCACTGATTTGCAACAACAGTAATCACAATAATTAATTCTTATACAGCTCTCTTTCAACGTGCCTTACAAAAATAGATATCATTACCCACTCTGTACAAAAAGGGGAACCATCATACCTTGGAATACTGCCCACATCTCTCTATTCCCAATACTCTGCCCTCTGTAGCAGAGCACTTTGGCTCACTCTAATCCTCAGATAAAAATGGTAAAATAGTATCACAATAATTTCCTGTCCGCACAAGGGTTATTCATCCCAAGCCAGATTTAACGAATAAGATTGCCAAACTACTCCTGCAACTGTTGCAGACTTTCCATGCCCCCTGCCCCACTTACCTTGACCACCAGTTGCTCTAAATCACAAAGCAACTTCCCTATCTAATGAATGTGAGGTCTTTTTTCAGACAGAAAAGATACCACCCCCATACAACAGTAATAGAAAAGAACTGCAATATATTTTTGCCCTCTTCTGTAGCTGTAGGCACCGCATATATTTATTATCGACTACTGTCAAATGGATTTCAAGTAGTTCCTTAAAGCAGAACTTCAGTTATCCAAAAGGTCAGGGAGAAGTCTATAACTAGCAGTTCTCCATACTAAAGTGGCTCTACTGATCTGCATTCGTGATGCTGAAAAAAAGAGAGTCCTCCACACAACATTTTTTTTCTCTGCCAAGAATAGTACTTTAATTAAGAAAAAATTTCAAATTTCACTGTGAATGTAGAAGTTCAAGTAGATCACACCATTGCAGATGCTAATGAAAAATTTATGACATGGATTAGGTTAATCTATTAACGATCAATTTATTGCCTGCATTTATTAGAGATTCTAATATTCATTCAGATAATCCTTTTATCTTCACCATGACTAATTTCCTCTCACAGAACCATTAGAAAGTGAGGCGCTAGTAAGGAAAAATGATGATGTCTGGATCCTACTCAAAGGACCTTCATCTCCAGTGGGACTGCAAATAATTTCAGTAATGGGCCCTTTCAGAACACTTTTCATTACTTTCTGCATTCATAAAGTTACTCAGGGGAATAGTTAGCACAATTTAGAGACCACGAGCCCAACCAACGGAAATGAACCAACTTTCTGAAGATATATTAATCAGTGAAAAACTGACAGAAGTACACTTGAGTGCACCAGAAGGTGCAATGCAGAATCTTTATTAGCTTTGTATGAACTATTAGATCTCGTGATAAAACTGCAGAATTTAACAGCATATTTATACTGCTTAATCTTTTATGGGCTATTTACCAAAACCTCAAGGAAAAACATAGTAAAATGAAATTGGCCACTGTGTACATACTGGGTGTCTTAGGTCTCATAAGCTCTGCTGAGAGGTCTCTCACCTAAAGCATCCTAAAAGTTATGCCCCACTGTCTTTGTTCCTGGACATACAAATACCACCATTAACCAAGTTTTTTTCTTTGCTAGCAACACTGATACTACAGTCTTAAATGCTCAGCAGGCAAACTGTGCCTAAGCTATCACTATATTAAATGTGCATCTTCTGTTTGACAGATTCATAACTGACAACCCCACAGTTCCTCATTCAAAAGAGCTTGAAATGAATGCCTGTTAATATTTTCAGCTGAGGGGTATGTGGCTAAATCTGGATTAGTGTCCCAGATTTACCCTAAATCCATACAATTTATCCCCTACCAGCTGGGCAAAAAATACTCCATTTGTACAGAAACAGCCTCAAAAAGGTAATTTATTTAGAGAACCTGGCCTTAAACTAAACGTTCAGATGGGCAGCTGAAGGGAGGACTCGTCAAGCTATGAAAAACACTTGTAGGATTTTAGTATACTTGAAGGATTACACTTGGAGTCCTACCACTTATGATGGTGTTTGCAATGGAAGGTTTCCTATTTGGGATGTAACCTGGCAGTCATCCTTCTACCAAGCACCCCCTCCAGTGGGGGAAAAGGCAAACCTCTAGAGAGACATGCTCCATCTTGAATGAACGAGCAACTGCTCATGTATGCTACTGGACTGTCAGGATTTACCAAGACTTTAATATCAGAGTATCTGTAGCGAAATCCATGCCTTTCAAACTAGGCACTTTAATTCACCTCTGCAGGACCCCTGATTTCAAAGCCCATTTAAAAAAAAAGAATAACAACAAAACCCTGCAGTTCTAAGTTATGTTAAGATTCAGTGAACAACCGATACATAATCTATACTATCATCTCACCGTAAGCAGCCAGATGTGTTCTTGAAGACTGTTGTCCATTCAGCATCCCGAGGCTTGGAGTCCTCATTTGGTTCACTCTCCCATCCAGAATGGGGGATAATCACCTCGTTTGTCAATGTCTGAAGACCATGGTTAATGATCACCATCTTTAGGGGCTCATAGGATGACAAGTTCCACAGCGTGCCTTCAGAAGGAACAGTGGTTATTAGTCTAATGAAAACAGAATATTTATTTCTACTGCTCATGCAGAATAGCATTCCCCGAAGATTAAATGATACAACAATAAGACAAGAGGAAACTTATTTGCCTGATGAAGTTTCTTAGAATTCAGCATAACCACACAGAGTAGGAAACATTCAGCAGTTATCAACACAGAAACCTTTCCCAAGAGTCATATTTAAAACAGGTTGGGTGGCTGAAATCACTGGCCCTGGTAATATGCCTGAGGAATATGATGTGTGTTCATTAATTGCTTACCCAGAGCATGTGTGTATAGATGGAAAATGACAGGATTTGCTCTGCACAAAATGTAGATATCATTACATTTGCAAATCTACTTATGCCTGAAGAAAACATGCACTCTACTGCCGCAAGCTGACAAAAGGCTTAATGCACCATGTAAGGCCTCCATTTAGAGAATATAGTCCAGGCGTTGGTCCTCTGCCCAGTTGAAATATCACCCACTACTTTCTGCATCCCACATTACTTTTATATGATTACTTTGTCACAGGCCAAGAAGTGAATTGAGGGCAGGGATCCAAGCTGAGGCCGAGCACCCAGAACTACCTTTGTCTTATTGCCTCACCTCAATTATAAATCCACAGCAACAGAAAACTCAAGAAGCTGCCTACCTAAGCAGAGCCTCAAACAGCTTTAAAACTAAACAATTCAAACTGTCTGTGACCTGGGTCTATATTTAATGCGTTTACAGCGATGCAACAGCAATCCTGTCTGATACAGCCAACCCTGACGTAGATGGAGGTGTGGTTTTCTTTACTTATCTGGTTATGCTGGCACTCGTGTGTGTAAGAAAAAGGGTAGCATATAAATCAGATAAATAAATAAAATAAATAAATAAGCTACGCCAGTATAAGCATTTCTAGAACAGTATACCAGTTTGCCTAGATTTACTTATTTAAAAATAGGCAGTAATTTGGACTTCTTTCTCCAATATGTTTATATAAAATTCAGCCAGAACTATCATTTGCTCTGATTGAACTGTATAACACCATGCCATTAATTGTATATCATTTATAAAAAGTTCTAAGTGAAAACTAAACTGTACATTTAAAACTGAAATCACAGGGTGAAGTACATTTATATTAATATCAGCCTTCATAAATTCAGCCAATGCTAGAAAGGACAAGAAAACCTAATCCTGTTCCCTACATGTTTCTAACAGAATCATACCCCTCAAGGACATGGTTTAACTCTAATGGGAAGGTTTTTGCTAACATTTCCGTATTCCAGAAGTGGCAATGCAAGCTAATGCAGAAGAACAAATACCCTTCCCAATCTCAGTTTTCCAAAGGTCATTGGTGACTGAATCAGAACTGAAATGGGACCTTCACATCATAGATGAGATCTGTATTAGTCTTACCTCCTGACACCTGAAAACTACATAAATTGGAGGACTGGAACAAAAGAAATCTCATGAGGTTCAATAAGGAAAAATGCAAAGTCCTGAACTTCAGACGGAAAAATCCCATGCACCAGTACAGGCTGGGGACCGACTGGTTAAGCAACAGCTCTGCAGAAAAGGACCTGGGGGTTACCGTAGACAAGCTGAATATGAGCCAGCCGCGTGCCCTTGTTGCCAAGACAACTAACAGCATACTGGGCTGTATTAGTAGAAGTGCTGCCAGTAGATCGAGGGAAGTGATTCTTTCCCTCTGTCCAGCACTGATGAGGCCACATGTGGAGTACTGTGTCCAATTTTGCCCTCCCTCCCTCCCACCTCCCTGTACATAGAGGATGTAGACAAATTGGAGAGAGTCCAGCAGAGAGCCACAAAAATTATTAGAGGCTCGGGCACATGACTTACGAGAAGAGGCTGAGAAAACTGGGTTTATTAAGTCTGGAGAAGAGAAGACTGAGGGGGGATTTAATAACAGCCTTCAGCTACCTGAAGGGTGATTCCAAAGAGGATGGAGCTGGGCTGTTCTCAGTGGTGGCAGATGGCAGGACAAGGAGCAATGGTCCCAAGTTGCAGCAAGGGAAGTTTCAATTAAATATTAGGAAGAATTTTCTCACTAGGAAGGTAGTAAAACACTGGAACAGGTTTTCCAGAGAGGTGGCGGAATCTCCATTCTTGGAGGTTTTTAAGACAAAGCATTGGTTGGGATAATCTAGTTGAGGATGGTCCTGCTTTGAGCAGGGGGTTGGACTAGATGACCTCCTGAGGTCCCTTCCAACCCTAACTTTCTATGATTCTATCAATAAGAGCATTTGGGAAGGAAAACAAGTATGTGGTTTTCATCTCCAATGAAATGATTGAAAACGGAGAGATTTCTGGAGGTACTGATGAGGGGAAAAAAATGAAAGTTTTCCCTAAAGACACTGAAATCTTTCCTAAATAGTAGGGCTGTGCAAAGCTTTGAGTGCTGGTTCAATTCGGAGGAAATTCGGCCCGATACAGTGGCCAAATCTCCAAATCCATATCAAATCAGGGGACGAATTAACAGGTCCGAATTGATTTGAAGCTTTCCAAATCAATTCGGAAAAAATTTGGAGAGCTTTGGTGATTCGGGCAGTCCCTGCCCACTGCAGCAGGGAGATGGGGGCGGACTCAGAGCTGGTAAGTAGGGG